AAAACAACCACACACACACACACACACACACACACACACACATATAATTAAAGGCTGTAAAATATAAATCTAAAAAAAGAAATATCTTACATCGGTACCAAAACTCTTTAGCAATTGTCTTTTGGAATGGAGTCAAAACAGCCCAGGCTGCCTTCAAACTCACAATACTTCTCCTGCTTCAGCCCCCCAAATGCTGGAATTTAACACCTGATATTTCTTTCATAAAGGAAAGGGAGGCACATTCCAATCAAGGTTGGGAATGAAACCAAATGTGTTACTACTGCTTCCATCTGACCTAGCACTAAAGACCCCAGTGAACGTGCTGAATTAAGGGGAGAAGGGTAGGCTTAATGATTTAAATGGAAGGAAAAGTTAAAATGTCACTCTCTGCAGAGCTGTGGCCACCCACATACAAAACCCAACAGAACAAAGTACCTGTTGCAAGACTAGAACTCACCAAGGCACGATGACTCATGCTTGTAACCTTATCACTCAGGGGTCCGAGGCAGGAAGACTGCTCAGTGTGAGTGAGAGGGTTAGTTATAACATCAGCAACTTCCAGCCTGGGGTACACAGTGATACCTGTCTTAACACAGCCGATGACCCAATGTTTTTAAAATCAGTTACAGCAAGGCTATGAGAAACAGAATCAATTTATCAAAGTGTCTAATATTTCTCCTCAACAGTTGAGTGATTTTGCCCCTAGAATATGTTTGACTAATTTAGTAAATAAAAATGATAGACTGGGCTGGGCGTTGGTGGCGCACGCCTTTAGCCCCAGCACTCGGGAGGCAGAGGCAGGTGGATCTCTGTTTGAGGTTAGTCTGACCTGCGGAGTGAGTTCCAGGGCAGCCAGGACTACACAGAGAAACCCTGTCTTGAAGAGCAACAACTACAAAAGAGATAGATTGAGGGGGGAGGGCTGGAGAAATGGGATTTTGTTAGCAGGCAAATATGTTCCTGGTGAACCTTTTGTTAAGTTTAAAGTTCTTTCCCCTGCACACCATCAGAAGAAAGGTTTACTCAAGAACTTCAGTATGGCTCCAGGAGTTAGAGTCCATTACCACAGAGACAGCATGGCAGCAGGCAGCCAAAGCATGGAGCCCAGAGATCATGCTTCCAAAGACTATGGTCTCAGAGGTCCAACAAAGGCTGTCTCACAGTTGACAGTTGTTCAGACCTCGGGACTAAATGTCTCAGTAGTCCCAATCCTGGGGGACTCCTGGGGAGCTACTGATCTTGGGTCTACATTTGAATCCTGAAGAAGCTGATTTAATACTGGCTGCAGCAGCAAGAGTCCAGATAAACATGTCAGTGAGGGTGGGACAAGCAGGCCAAAGGAAAGCCTCCTTCTGCCGAGTCCTTTCATGTGGGCTGCACCAGAGATTAAGAAAATCCCTCACAGGAGTACCCAGAATCTTGGGGTTTAGTTGTTTCCAGATACAGCAGAGTTAACAACCAAGATTAGCCATTACAAGGGGCTCAAAGCCATGGTGTTTGTGTAGTCAAAGTTGAGTCAGTGCTTGTCCAGCCATGAGAAAATAGATGGGAAACAGTGTGTACATAAAATGAGACGTTTGTAACTACCAGAAGCATGAAATAGATACAAACACAGAAGTGCCTGGGGGCCTTTGAAGGTGCTACACTGGCAGGATGCTCAATGGGTAGCAGCACCTACCTATAATTCTAATGACTTGAGTTTGATCCTGGTACCCAATTACTCTCTGACCTCCACATATACATGTACACCACACAATACACACACACACACACACACACACACACACACACACACACACACTTAATACATAAATGTAAAAGAATCCTGCTTTGGTGGGAGGTAGACCAAGAGGCCTTTAGCTAACTGTTGTGTGCATTTTTGAAACATCACGAGGGGCTGAGGACCTACAGTTTAGTGGTAGAGCCCATGCCTGGCATTTGCAGGACCCTGTCGTCCATCCATATCCTTAGAAAAAGAAATAAAGAAAACTGCAAGAAGCATGTGTGCTTCATCCAGACTCCTACAAAAATAAGGTGGCACCAAGCAGGGTGCTAAGACTGCCAATTGGGAGGAAAGAACAAGAAAGGAGAGGCTTAAAGGGGAATGAGAAAATAGAAAAGCAAGAAGGCTTTGTGAAAAGACAAAAAGTTCTCCGAGCAGGGGGAGTGCCTGTATTTCAGCACCTGGGGACCAGCTAAAGAAAACAAAACAACAAAGAGAAAGAAAGGGGCTGGGTGGGAGTTGGTGGAGGCTGGGGAAGAAGCTACTCCCAAGCTGTGAGCAGCTTGAGTGCAGTCTGCTCGAAGGAAAGTCATTTTTCCTGGGGTGGGACCGGGGATGTAGGAATAGGCACGTAGGCAGCAGGTTGGAGAGGGGGAGGGGGAAGGGGAGGGGAGGGCAAGCGTGTGCTATCTGAGACATTGAGAGCCTCACAGCATGGAAATCTACCCTAAATTACACTAAACCCCCCTCCCTGCTCGCCCAGTCTCAGGGTCTGTGGGGAGCTGTCTGTGCCTTCTCTGGAGCCTCCCCCGAGCCATGTGGGAAGCAACAAGTTATCTTTTCTTTCACACTGCCAGAGGCCAAAGTGACCTAGGAGAGAGGTGCCCACACTGTGCTGAGCAGTATGGCTGATTGCAGACAGGACCAAGCCGGTTGCCAACACTCAGGGGCCCAGAGTGGGGAATTGGAGGGAATCTGCTCTGAAAAGCCAGATAGGCTCAGAGAGGGGTGGTGGCACATGCATGGAATTCCAGCGCTGGAGAAATGCAGGTGGGGGCGGGGCGGGGCGGGGCGGGGCTCAGTTCAAGGTCATCCTCAATTTTTAAGTTTGCTTCTTGTTACTATCTATTCAGCCAGTGGGATGCACTCCAGCAGACAAGGCTGGGAGGGAAAACAGGATCCATGTGTCCACAAGCTGACTCCATCCCTTTGTATAGAATACAAATACCCCCCCCTCGTGTGTGTGTGTGTGTGTGTGTGTGTGTGTGTGTGTGTGTGTGTGTGTGTGTGTGTATAGATCAGAAGACAACTTGTAAGAATCAGTTCTCAGGGCTGGAGAGATGATGGCTCAGTGGTTAAGAGCACTGACTCCTCTTTCAGAGGACCTAGGTTCAATTCCCCAGCACCCCCATGGCAGCTCACAACTGTCTGTAATGCCAGTTCCAGGGAGATCTGACACCTTTACACCAATGAACATAAAATAAAGTTAAATTAAAAAAAGAATCAATTCTCTTCTCTTGCATCTTAAGCTTTCTGTCTGCATGTATGCCTGCATATCAGGAGAGGGCATCAGGTCCCATTATGAATGTTTGCTAAGATGCTGGGACTTGAACTCAGGACCTCTGGAAGAACAGCAGGTGTTCTTAACCATTGTGCCATCTCTCCAGTTCATATCAAGCTCTTTTATCCACTGAGCTACCTTGCCAACCTTATTACATTTTTAAGCCAATGTTTTCAGGAATGTAAAGGCTAGGAGAATATCACACACACACACACACACACACACACACACACACACGTTCTTAGCTGTCCACCTTGTTTTCTGAGACAGGGTCTCAGTGGCCTGGAACTTGATGAATAAGCTAGGCTTGCTGACCAGTGAACTCCAGGGATCTACCCATGTCTGCCTCCCCAGCTCTGGGATTACAAATGCATACCACCTGGATCCAGTCTCCCCATTGCTCACTCAGCTCCTTAGCTCTTAAGTAGCTCACACCTGTACCCCAAGTTCTTGGAAGGACAAGCAGGAGGCCTCGGACAGGTTGATTACCAGCCTGGTCTACATAGCAAGGTGCAGGCCATCCTGAGGTACATACTGAGAGCCTGTCTATACATATACCTACTCGGGAGACTGCAAAATCCAAAGCCTGCTTGGGTTAGAGAGAGCTAAGGCTACTTTAGCGCTGAGCAACTTAGTGAGAACCAAATCTCAAGGATAAGAAGGCTGGGGCCAGGTATGGTGGCACATGTCAGTACTCCCAGCACTTGGGAGGCTAAAGCAGGACCAGGAGTTCAAGACCAATCTGGGCTACATGAGACCCTTTCAAAAAGGGTTGGGAGAACAAGAGATGTATTTAGGGGGGCTGGAGAGATGGCTCAGAGATTAAGAGCACTGGTTGCTTTTCCAGAGGTCCTGAGTTCAATTCCCAGCAACCACATGGTGGCTCACAACCATCTGTTATGAGATCTGGTGCCCTCTTCTGGTGTGCAGATAGACACGGAAACAGAATGTTGTATACAAAATAAATAAAAATCTTAAAAAAGAGAGAGAGAGAGAGAGAGAGAGAGAGAGAGAGAGAGAGAGATGTAGTTAGGTGACAGGGTTGCTTAGGTGGCCCTGGGTTCAAGTGCTGGGGCACCTAAAAATATGTATTTGAAATATTTTAGAAAAAAGTAAACTTGCCCCAAACATGTAGAGACTTTTACTGTGTGTATAGTCTCTGAACACAGTGTAGGAACCACTCACCCAGCATTTACAGACAGTGTGAGGCACCTGGAGCCAGAGGATGTATGTAAGTTATAGGCTAATATGAATTACTCTGCTTCATATAAGTGAGTTATGTTTTGATCGAGACGTGCCCCACAACCTTAGGCATTTCAATACTTGGTTCCCATTTAATGGTGCTGATTGGAGGGGTTTAAAAGCCTTGGTGGAGAAAGTGTTACTGGGGGCAGGCTTCGGAGAGTTTTAAGGACGGATACCATTTCTAGTCCTTACTTTCTGCTTCCACTTGAAGCTCAGCTTTTGCTCTCAGTGTGGCATTCCTGCTGTTTGTTTGTGGTGTTTTATCATAGAATAGAAAGGTAATACAGTATCTCACCACCTACAGGCCTTAGCATTCCAAAACCCATCTCCATGGATACTGAAAGATAACACTACACTCTAAATGTATTGATCTCATCAATGATCGAGCAGGCTGACCAGGAAATGCTAACCTGCCCAAAGATGACCACACTCTTAAAAATGCCCATTTTAAGGATCCAATCACACACTGGATATTTTGAAAAAAAAAAAGTTAAAATTTATTAATAATAGTTAACATCACATGGTTAATTCAAGACTAGTTCTCTACTGTACATGGTGACATCACATTCACTAGACTGAGTGCCCAGGGATTTGAGATGAGCCAAAGGTTCATTGGATATCACACAAAGCAGCATTAGCAGAGGGCTGTCACCCTAGTGCTGGGAGCAGTCAGCCTAGTTCTAGGAACACAGCACACTGCCTCATGCTCTGGATCAAGAGCCAACACTTCCTTAAAAGCTACTTACACACATATCTCTGCCAAAAAGTGCCCTCTCTCATAGATAGTGCCTGATTTTAAAGTTTAAAATTCAAGACTCAAAAATTTAGTCAAAATCCATCTGCACTCCAGGGCTACCCTCTAGTGGTTCCCACATCTACAGGTGACTTTGGCTTCCAATGACCTGAATCAGGTTGGGGGAACAAGGGTGCTACACCACACAGGCAGCGCCAGCCTGGAACAAGTCAAGATCCAACCTTCCCTCTGGGCATCCCAGGAGGACCTGGGCATTTTTCATTTTTGTACGCCACCTTGTTCAACTGTATCCAGGCTTTGCTCTACACAATTGAAAAATGCATAGAACTTAGGTGTTAACAATGATAAGTTTCTCTTGGTCTTTCTGTTTTGACTCCTGTATCCATCCTATTTATTAGTGTTACAAGGCTGTTCCCTCTTTATTATGTCATAACCATGTTTAATGTTGGCGGTCAATCTAATATTTTGAGGATAGAAGTGAACTTTTGGAGTCAGAGGGAACCGTATGCTCAGAGAGCAGAGGACAGGGCTTTCATGACCTCCTGTTTCTCGAACAGTCTGAAATAAATAGCTCATATAAAAAAGTGAGTGAGTGGCTCAACACAGCTGGATCTGCCGGAGCAGACAGACAGCGCCTCTTTAAAACACAAGACAAACCCGAGGCGGAATCTGCTAGGAGGGCAAAGGTACAACATCCCTGAGGTTTGGTTTGGTTGTTTCACTGCTTCATTTGGTTTGCTTTGACAATTGGACATAGCTGTAGAAACATTTTTGGTGGCTTCCTTTAGCTTGCCAAACCATTTTTTAAAACACTGACTGACCTACAATTGAGTTTTTTTCTAAGCAGTATTTGAACAGGTCCTTCGGTTTCCTTTGGCTAACATCCTAGGAGATATCACTCAGGAAAGCAGACAGATTGGCCAGCCAGCTGCTGTGGTTTTTTCCATCCAGGGGTTAGCCTCAGTCTCCATCCCTGCCCTGCATACATCTCAGACTGTAGAGGCAGGAGAAGCCTGGAGGCTGTTGCTCTGCCATTCAACCACCACATCTCTCCTCTTCCCTCAGGTGAAGGAGGTGTTTCTGGGAGTCAGCCAGTGCCTCCACCTCACATCCTGAACTACACCAATCTATTAATGAGGCCGAGACTTGAGGCCCTGGCTAGCTATGTACAGAACAAAAAACCATATAAATACATTACTTACAATTAACCATTACACGATGAAGGAGAGGACCTACTTCACAAACTAAATAAATTTCAAACATAAATTAACAAACAAACAAACAAAACAGTGTTTCCACTTCTGCAGGGGAAAAAAAAAATTTTAAAAAGCTACCAAAAGTGACCCCTCTACCAAGGTCTGTTGTTCATGGATGATGACTCATTCAGTCATGTGAGGTAAAGCCACAAACGCTCGAAGGAGGTGTTAACTCTTGGCTTTGGTTTGGATTCTCTATTCCAGGACAGCAAATGTGAGAACCGGCAGGGCGATGCTTATGGTTGAGTTGAAGAGGGTTCAGCCATACGGCCACCCGGAGGATGTCCCTCTGCTCCTCCTCCTCCCTCCCAATGTCTGCCTCTCATAAGAGAAGCAAACATCCTTTCAAGAAGATGTTCTCCACCTGCAAATGTCACATTCATCTCCAAGATGAGGCAACCATGTCTTCAAGACTATCTCCATCCCTTAGGATTGTACAGGAAATAGAATGGGGAGGGATGATCTCAGGAGGTGACAGGAACAACTGTGAACAATTCCATACTTTCTGATTCTCAGGAAGGCCAAGGATTGGGTGCCAAACTCTACAGTGAATACATAGACAAAAGCAGTCTCACAGGGTCCTCTCTGCCAGGAAATGCCAAGGGGTCCATCCTCATAACTTAAAGCAGGGAAGTGGCCAGGAAGCAGAGAAGTCCCGTGTGGTCTCTGGCTCTACCTCTGCCCAGCCTCCCGGATGCGGCAGGCCACGGCAGTGATAAGAGCTGCTCCCTTCCCGCTGCCATCCTCAGATTCCAGGAAGGACACCTCACATTTCGGAGCCAGATCTTTCACCGTCTCATGCATGACTTTGGCAAAGCTGGAATGAGAGAGAGAAGGGATGTGACTGGTTTGTGTCCTCAAGTGTAGCCAGAAATAAGAATTAAGATGAGAAGCACGACACCTACAAAATAGCAAACATTTACTTTACTATGTACTGGGTGCCAGAAAATTGAGGCTTGAAGGGGCCAGGACCACATCCAAATCTTACAACATGGAGGCCAATCAAGAGAGTGGAAGACTCAACTTTGGCATAAATGTCCTAAGATGCTGGTGAACTTTCTTCAAAATAAATCAACTGGTCCTGGAACGGAGCTCAGTGGATAGTGTTTGCCTAGCAACATAAGTGAGATCCTTGGGTTTCATTCCCAGCATCAACTGCACATGGGACCCCTTGTCTATAATCCCAGCAAACAGGAAGCAGAGGCAAGAGAATCAAAAGCTCAAGGTTATCCTCGGCTACATACACAGATGGAGGCCGGTCTGGAATATAAGAGACTTAGTGCCCCCAGGTCTTGCAGAGGACCAGGTTTCAGTTCCCAGCACCCACATGGCAGTTTACAATGGCTTGTAACTCCAGCTCCAGAGGATTCAATGACATCTTCTGGCCTCTGTAGGCACTCTACCCATGTACACAACTTTCCCACACTTCCCACCTCTACCTCATATATACAAATAATTAAAATAATTTTCAAGGTAAATTATGGGCTAGAGAGATGGCTCTGTGGTTATAGTATCTATTGCTCTTTCGGGAGACAAATTTAATTGACAGCATCATGTCAGGCTGCTCACAACCACCTGTAACTCTAGTTCCAGGGAATCAACTGGGCTCCAAGGACACCTCTACTCTGTATACATACCTCCACATACACATTCATATACATGCTTCAGGATTGTGGGCTATGTGTCCTCTCCTGACTACTCTACCATCTGACCATGAATAAAGCCTCTGTCAGGACATAAACTCGGGCATGGCTGTGCTCCTATAAAACCTTTATCAACATAAGCCCCAAGTGGCTTCTGTGTGACAATCCCTGGATCCCAGGGAAATTTTTGCTTGAATCATAGAGTAAGCCCACCAGAATACTCCCAGCAGCACTGTTCATAACAGTCAACACAGATTAAGCAACACATCATAGAAACAGCAGTGATGGGACCACTGGGAACTATGATCTCCTCCTTGGGAACTAGCCAAGTGTGGAGGGGGGCACACCTGTTGCTATCCAGCCTTGAAAATTATCAAACTGCAACTACACTTAGGCTTTCAAGCCAGCCAAAGGGCCATCACCATTTATCTCCAAACTAAGCCATTAAACACTCTTTGGAGTGGCTGAGAGAAGCCAAGGATAGAAATATACCAGGAGAAGAAGGAAGACAGGGAAGGCCTCCAGGGTCAGGTACTCACTGAGGATGGAGCTTGTAAAGAGTCCCGTCTACACCCACTGTCACTTTGAGGCTGTCCAGGCCTCGGTTTTCTCTTATCTTGTCCACCACAGCAGCCATGCCTGCGCCACAGAGCTGGGCCGCACGCCGGGCAACCACGGTGCACACCTCCTTCACAATGATGCTGTCATCACACGTGCTCTCCAGTCCGAGGTGACGCAGGATGGCCCGGACCTGCAGCAGGGCCAGGCAGTCACTGCAGGGGAGAGAGACAATGATCAGGTATGCCCAGGAAGACCCAGTGGCCCACCTGGTTCCATCCTGGAAGGTTCCATAGGGGATGGGGGGAACAGAGCCATGAACAAATGATCTCTATTCGACACCCAAGGTAGGGCATGGCTACCACAAAACTGATGCCATGAGTCATGCCTATAATCCCATCTTTCAGGAGGCTGAAGCAGGAGGATTGCCACAAATTCAAGGGCAATGTTGGCTACATAGTGAGACCTGTCTCAAGAAAACCAAAACCAAAGTACACTAAAAACAAAGGAAATTCACATCCTAGAGCAGACTAGCCCTGATATTCAGTCTAAAACATGCCAATACCACTTTTCATGACCCTTCCCCCATGCGCGCAGCATGGTTCTTTTAGGGAATTTTAGTCAGGAGTGGGTAGTTCACTCTAAGCCAATCTCTGTGAGCTACATCCTGGCACCACAAGAACTTGTCTACTCATGAGGGAAAATGAGAACATGGTCCCACCCTCTTCCCAGGACCCCATCCTTACCTCTCGATCTGAGACAGGAACTTAGTTTCAAAGATCCCCCTTGTCTTGAGGCGCTCTGAGATGCGGCCACGGAAGAGCAGCCCTCTCTTAGTGAAATCAATGAGAATGTTACGCACAATCTCGCCCAGGTACATGCCACTGATCATCTTCTCGAATCTGCAATGTGACAGCGTCCACGGAGGTTAGAAGGGGCAAATGTGTCCAGGCAGAAAAGAAGGCAGAGGTTGGCAAACTCCCCTTGAGGGAAAGGGATGGCCCCTGAGTCATGTGTGCGGACATCCAGGAATCTTCTCAAACATTCGCCCAAACTAACCACATGATGTTTGACAGCTCATTAGGAAGAAACAAATCCACAAACCCAACACTACTTCTAGGAGCATCGGAGGATGGCTGGGTCTTCCTCCTTAAGTTCCACTGGGCAGCTTACTTGGACCTCAAGTAACTGGTGTCAACAGCAGTACCCTGTAAACACGCTTCTGGACCAACCATGGCTATGACATGGCTCAAGAATCTTTGGACTATGCACAATGCCCTTTTAGAAAGCTAAGGGCCCAAGGATCATGGGAGACATTATCACTTCCCTACCTTATTTTGTAGCCTGCTTCCTTCGTTAATGATACCTGCCTGGCTTGTGGGGGTATTTCAGTCTAGGACCTCTAATTTAGACCAATCGTTCACAAACTGTGTTCTAAAGGATCAAGGTCTTGGACTAATTCAGCCTGGCGACACCGTAGAGAGCACCTTCCTGAGGGGAAGTGGCAGATCTTAGGTCTCAGCCCAGCTCTAAGCCCCCCACACTGCAGGAGGCTGTGTGACATTGGGAATGCTCGTCCATTCTGACAATAGAGACAGGAGACGCTGAGTAACTGGAGAAAGGCTCCCCTACTGTCAGAGCCACACCGACACCGCGCGGGGAGATGTGCTTCTAGTTCCCGCCGGTTTTCCTCAGTCTCAGTCCTAGCTTCTAACACACTCTCCCAGACCTTGATGGGGGTTTGAGAAGAACCTCTCTGAAGGAGAAACCCACTAGGGTCCTCAAGAGAGCAGGCATCTGGAAAAGAGCCATGGTGGAAAGCCCAGCCAATTGAGGTCCCATTCGGGGATGAAAGCCCCGCTGAGGGCTTACCTCTGTTTGCCAGGGTTGAGGGAGAGCTCATCCACAGCAACATCAAACTCTGTGCGGAAGTCATCCAGGCAGCCGTTGTCCCCAAAGGCCCCCCATTCCATGTTGACACACATGCGGCCCTCCTCTCCGTCCACCAGTTCCACATTACGCATCTCCTCCATGTAGCAGGCGTTGCTCCCAGTACCTGTCAATCAAGGGCACCAATCCTCAATCAGCGCCAGTCTTCCTCCCACCCCAGGCCAGGCACCCCCACTTGGGAAGAATAATTGGTGTCCTTACCAACGATGAGGCCAACTTCACAGTGAGGGTCTTCGTAGCCACAAGTCATCATAGTCCCAACTGTGTCATTCACCACAGCAACTACATCCAGGTCAAACTCCTGATGGCAGAAGCAGATATCCAAAAATTCCAACACACACAGTCACTTATCTGCCCACTTCTCTCTGCTCTCCCTACTCAACTTTATTTTTCCTCAAAGCCCTTACAGCAGCACCTGCCACTGGATCATGGCCTTCTGTTTATAAAGTAAGACTATGGCAGTCAGCCCTGAGTCCCCATGCCCAGTAGTGAAGCAAACACTGCTGAATAATTTAGTTAATTTCCCTCCAACATGAATACATTGCCCTGCCTCTGAATACATCAGCCACCTTGGGCACCATGGGCCCAATGGACCAGAACTTGCACTGTCTCCTACCTCTCGCCGGTGAATTGCTTCTTTCAGCAAGGTGACCACATCCTCGCCCTCACAGCCAGAAGCCTTGAAGCCTTTTGTCCACTTGAGGAGAATGCTCTGAAATAAATGAATAAATGAATGAATGAATGACACATAGGTACACAAAGGAGGGACAGAGATGGGGTCCTGGTCATTCCTGGAGCCCCATTTTGCCAACAGATGACCCACAAATGGTCCTGAGTTCACACTTAAGGTAACTTGCTTGCATCATTTAATTCTCACCATCACTATGTGTTATGTTTTAATTTCCAGATTTCAATGAACAGAGAGCTGGGGAACAACCTAGGAGAGAAGCCACCAAGCTCCTCAGAGTCTTCTATAGACTCTTAGACAGATAGAGGGAGGGAGGGGATGAGTAGTGTTCCTGTTCATGTCTGTGTGGATAAAGCTATACAGGCAGCATGTATGCAGAGACCAGAGGCTGATACCAGACGTCTTTCCCGTTTACTGTCCACCTTATTATTTTTAAGGATGTGTCATTAAACCTGGGACTCATTAATTCAGCTATATTGGCTGGCTGGCCAGGGTTACAGGCACATTATTGCACCCAGCTTATATGGGTGCTGGAGATTTGAACTCAGATCCTCATTCTTACAAGGCAAGCATTTTACCATCTGAGCCATCACGAAGCCCCTAAGAGCCCCCCTTTTAGTGTGCTCTTCATTGTGTCACGAGCCAGCTGGGCACAGATGCCCATCGGCTTTGCACATGCGAGAAAGTTTTGTTCCCTATTGTTCTTTGTAGCAGCCAGCACAAATCAGCACTCTCAAATCCCTTTCCCAAAAGGCTGGAACCATGGCCACCCACATGCACGGTGCCTCCAAGCCTCACTCATGGGCTGTGCCCATCACTTGGGTAATCTATAAACCTGGATGTGTCATACTGTGATCGGATCTCAAGAGATTCAGAACAAAACAGTGCCGTGGAGCCCTGGATTATACACCCACATACAGACAAAGACGTGCTTGTCTCTTCCACCCATCTCTCATTTCCAGGTGAGCTGTGTGCCTCTGGCAAAAAATGTCCACAACCTCATTTCAGACTGTCATAATAAGACAACACTGGGCTTCAACAGCCAGGGAGACTTGCCCAAAGCTGGTGGTGAATAAATGTGTCCAGGGACCTCTCTCTGGGCCTCCAGGTCTCCTTAAGGTCTACTGAAGCCTCATCAAAAAGATGATGTCATCAGAGTTAACAGCCACAGCTGGTTCCCACTTTGCTACTCTTTACTTTTACAATCCTAGACTTAACACACGAGCCTCACAGAACACAGACAGAAAAATTCAGCAACTATCTAAGATCTTACAGTCCCGATAGGAATAGTGTTAACAGTGTCAGGCTCCTCTGATAAAAGTACAAAGATTACACATGGACTGGCATGAAAAGATAGTGTCTACTTAGGTGCACGAGGACCCGGAGTTTGATATTCAGCACCCATGTAAAAAGCTGAGGAGTGAGCTCCAGGCTAATGAGACTGTATCCCCAAAACAAGGTGGATACCCTACTTGAACATACACGTGACACCCCAACACACTAAAATATGAGTTAGTATTTCTGATTATTATCACACTGTTGCAACCAAGAGGACATCCATCTGCCATGGCCCCCATCCCACTAACGTCTCCAACCCAAGTTGACTCATACCCTTCCCCTCTTCTGAGATCAACTTTTTCCCCTGGAAACTGGAGTCAGCTGAGAGTTGAAGCCCACAGAAGCCCTCCCAGAAGGCAGCTACCTGGTCCAGGCTGTTCTGCTGGCAGGGGAAGGAGAAGGTGAAACCCAGAGGCAGAGACACGCCTTTCATGCCCATGTACTCAAGGAAGTCTGCGATGCACTGGACAATGTGGTCGAAGAGCTGCAGGAAGAAAGGGCGTTTAGGGAGGGACCCTGGCCAGAGAGGGCTGACCCCCCAAACATTCCTCTCAGGAGAAATCAAGCTTAGTTGCTAAGAAGCAACTCTGCCAGGGTCCTGAACCCCAGTCCTCCCCAAGCCAGGGGTGATTAGGGGAAGGGAGATCTTTGAAGTTGGGAAGGCCACTCTCCCAGAAGCCCACCCAGTCATGACCCTCCCCTCTTCCCTGGTGTGTCCCCTCCTTTTCTTTTCTATTTTTTTTTAAAGATTTTATTTATTTATTATGTATACAACATTCTGCTTCCATGTATATCTGCACACCAGAAGAGGGCACCTGATCCCATAACCGATGGTTGTGAGCCACCATGTGGTTGCTGGGAAATTGAACTCGGGACCTCTGGAAGAGCAGCCAGTGCTCTTAACCTCTGAGCCATCTCTCCAGCCCCCGTGTCCCCTCCTTTTCTTTCTTGCTCCAAGCCTCACCTCTTCCCCAGTGCCGTGCATGACCTCCTGCGGGATGGAGTAGATCTTGTTATGCATCTCCACGCCCCTCCGCTTCCCGTTACGCACGCGCACCAGCAGGACCCGGAAATTTGTTCCTCCAAGATCCAAGGCCAGAAAGTCTCCTTTCTCTAGAAAATGAACCCAGGACGGTAATGAATTGTGGTATGAGTTTACACACAGTCCCTTCGTTAGGGGAAAATGGAGCGTGAGCGCCACCTAGCAGTTAAGAAAGGAAGACTCTCAGGACCAGATGGGCCCACCTGACCCCAGGAGTCGGCTCTTTATAACATCCGGCATGCCAATACTGTATGCTTAAAATTGTCTAAATGTAACATCTGGGCCAAGACAAATGCTACGTAGGGTACGATTCGGGAAAAGAGAAGGAACAAGTGAGGGACTCCTCAAAGAAAACTAAGTCAGGCAGTGTGGCATGCCAGGATTTAGAGTCTGGAGGATCCGGCATTCATGGACAGCCTCAGCTACACTTAATTTAAGGTCGACCTGGGCTATATGCCCCTGAGGCAACCCAAACCATTTCTTTTCCTACTTATAGATGATATTAAAGATATGACTGAATGAGAAAAAGCCACTAGAGGATGACCAGGGACCAAACCCTACTTTCTTCCTCTGGAGCCTGTGCCAACCATGAAAGATCATCGTGGATCAGAAACTTTTTGTATGAGGCCAGGCAGGAAATACATGTAGACCCAAACTAACATAGTGTTTGAGAGTTGGCTCTCAACCCCAGATTCCTAGGTTTCAATGTCTGGTTGTATGAACTTGAGCAAGGTTCTTAACTTCTCTTGGCTTCAGTTCTTGGCGAAACAGCAAATTTTTAATAAATAAAATTGGTCCAAGTGCTGGCATACATCAATAATCTTAGCACAGGTATTCAAGGTCATCCTGGATTATACATAGGGTTTGAGGCCAGCCTGAGCTACAGGAGACCCATTTCAAAAAAGCAAAATAAATGGGGCTGGAGAGATAATTTAACCGTTAAGAGAGCGGATGTTGTTCTTGCAGGTCACAGGTCATCTCCTAGCACTTACGTCAGAGGTTTCACAACTGCCTGCAACACCACCTCCAGGGGACTGGACACCCTCCGGTGGACTCCACCAGCTGACGCATACACGCAGGCGCAAAATTTTAAGTAAATCTTAAAGATCGTGACTAATGTCTGCAGCAGGACAAACCCCAGGTGAACTGAGGTGGGCACCGGTGCTATGTACCTGTACCATCCGGGGTGGCACACACATAGGTAGGCAGCATCTTCACAGGAGCTGCAGCGTGTGTCTCCTTGCTCAGACCTTGCTCCATTTCCACCTTCATCCTCCTCTTGACCTCCAGCAACTGCTCGTGGCTCAGTTTCAGAGACTCCAGGGTCTTCTGGCGGGCCCGGTGCTGGTCAGCCAGCCGGTAAGCTACTGCTGTCACCATAGCTGCCCCTTTGCCGCTGCCATCCTCAGACCGGAGGAAGCGAACATCACAGTCGGGCACCAGCCTCCTCACTGCCTTGTGAAGACGCTTGGCAAAACTGCAGCGACACACAAAAGGAGACAGGTGTCCCTGGTTACAATGGTGTACAGACCGCTTCAGAGCAGCTTCCACCTCTGCCCAGAGCCAGTGGCCCCCACAGAAGCAAATGGCGCCCACGTCTCCTCTCCATTCTCTCCCATCCTAAGGTTACTGTATAAAAGCCCGGTATTCAATCGTGGAGCCCTAGCTGGCTCTTCTAAAGCTGCCACCCCCTGTATGCAGTCACATGAGACCTGTTCCTCTGCTTAGCAAATGAAGACAGCCTCTGCAAGGGCAATCTACTAGAATCAAGTGCTCCCGCTGCCACCTGCTCCCGGAGGTCCTGGGAAAACACCCAACAACAACAAAAACCTACAAAAATCTTCTAGGGGCTGGAGAGATGGCTCAGAGGTTAAGAGCACTGACTGCTCTTCCAGAGGTCATGAGTTCAGTTCCCAGCAACCACATGGTGGCTCACAACCATCTGTCATGAGATCTGGTGCCCTCTCCTTATGTATAGGCAAACATGCAGACAGAACACTGTATATGTAATAAAAATAAGTAAATAAAAATTAAAAAAATTCTCATGTGACTCCATCGAAAAAAAGTTTATCTACTATTAAGAAAAAAAAAAGAAAGAAAAATCTTTTAGACTCTGGCCTTTTTTTTCCCCCCCAATTCCTGCTGATGATCTCAAAGGCACCTAAACAAGTGGAGTCAGTGAGAATGACTCCTTGGGTGGAGGCCTCCTGCACCACATGGACCAGACTCACTGGAGGCTGTCCGCTGTAAGAGCCAATCTCACCCCAGAACTTCTGAGGCAGAACCGGCCTCTGAACCATACTCCCAGGTTGTCTGTGTTTTTACTGCCCAGGGCTGGAAAGCAAGGATCTCAGGGCAGAGCACTTGGCAGCAACCAGCTCAGTTAAAGGTGCCCAGACTTGGCACTCACACTGAGAAAATGACGGAAAGTAAGTGAGCACTAAAAAGAGACATATTAGGGGTCCCAGATGGCATGTGAACATCTTGGAATATACAACTTAAGGGACATGGATAGGGCAGGAACAATTCAACACCAAAATCAGTGGAGAGGCTGGTGTCCAGGGTTGGAGTGGCCACTAGCTGAGGACAAGGCACCCACACAAACCACCAGAATAATGCAAGGACAGTGAGTGCAACAGTAACTCATAAAAAGGATGGAGGCAGCTGGGGTGATGCCTGGTTGGTAATGTACTTGCCTGCAATGCTCAAAGCATTCAATCCAACATTGCATAAATAAAGGTGGCACAGGCCTGTGACCCAAGAACTTGGAAGGCAGAGACAGAGAGTCAGAAATTTAAGTTCATCCATGGCCAACCTGGAGCCACATGACGGCCTATCTCAAAACAACAACAAAAAGCAGGGTGGAGGAGGAGACAAAGGCAAGCCAAGTACTCAGCAGCCAGGAGTTCTGAACAGAGGGCAAATCATCGGCTGCCTTCAGAAATCAACCCCACCCACACCAATAGTGCCCACCAGGGAATACTTATGCTCCATGGAAAGCAATACAGAGCCGGCTCATAGTGTCCAGCAGACTCTGTTGTTCCCAGCCCCAAGCTGCTCACTCACTGGGGATGTTTCTTGTAGACAGAGCCATCGACACCAATGGTGGAGCGAAGCCGCTCCTCGCCCTTGTTCTCCTTGATGCGCCACAGCACTGCAGCCAGGGTGGCTGCGCACAGGCTGGCAGAACGCGTAGACACAATCTGGCAGATTCGGTGTGTGGCTACACAGTCCTCCTGCAATGGATTCAGACCCAGACGCACCAGGATCTGGTAGGCCTTCTGTATTCCGTCCTTCTCCCTGGGAAGCAGATAGGGTGTCAGCAGTGTCTAACTCACTGTGACTAGTGGGAGGGGCTGTGGGCTGGCTAGGGAGCCCCCCAGCTCCAATCTCCCCCTTGGAGAGAGTGCTGACTCCTTCAGCAGTAGGAAGTATAGCACACACTACAAGGCCTGGCTCCCGGACCCCCCACCACGAGGGAGGGCGCGCGCGCGCGCACACACACACGCACGCGCACACACACAAGTCTGACTTATACAAGTGTCCTTTTATCTTCTACAGGAAAGAACAAGTAGCTCCTCTGTGTGTGCCTTCTGAAGACGAGACCCTGTTTGCATATGCCAAGTGAATGTGCCAGTTCCTGCTCTCTGTTCCCCTCCAAGTAGCTGAATGGTGAGTCAGCTGCCAGCCACCTTTGAGTACTTGAATTGAGTGTGCAGTCCACCTGTTGCTCTCTAGAACATCAAAAGTCAGTCTGTGCCTGGAGCTGGGGTCAAGGAGACCTGAGTAGCAGTCCCTTGCCTCTCTAACACAGGCCCTCATCTCCCTTTGGGCTTAACCAAGAGAAGACAGAATTACTCCAAGGGCCTCATTAGCAAAGTCCTTTGAAGTATTTCACTGCCCTGCTTTGGCACTAAAACTCCTTTCTCTCTCCATCGCGTCCCTGAAACTATAAGACCCCTTCAACCAAATAGAAATCTCAAGCCTAGAACTGTAGCCTTAAACCTTGGGATATTGTTTAACAATAAAGAAAAAACAGGATATCATTGCTGCCATCTCTGCCAAGCTATGTGTGGGTACGTGTATCTAAGGATATCTGTCCAGAGTCACCTGAGAAGCCTCAATCGGATTGGCCTGTGGACATGTCAATTGGGGACTGTCTCAATTATTAATTGGTGGAGGGCACAGCCCACTGTGGGTGGTACCATTCCTAGACAGATGGTCCTGGGCTGAATAAGGAAGCTAGCTGAGCCAGAGAACAAGCCAGTAAGCAGTGTTCCTATATGGTTTCTATTTCAAGTTCCTGACTGGGTTCCAGTTTTGACTTCCCTCAGTGATGGGCTGTGACCTGGAAGTGTAAACCAAATCAACCCTTTCCTCTCCAAGTTGCTTTTAGTCAGAGTGCTTTATCAAAACAGGAAAGAAAATAGAGTGGCACCCAGGACCACTTTTTTTTTCTATTATAAAACTGGGGTCAGCACAGAATCTTTTCTTGAGAAAGAAAAATGTTCATGAGAAATGAAATGTTCAAACTCAAGAGAAGGGATAGGAGGCAGATGCAGAGTAAAATCCTCTCAGATGCCTCCAGCATCAAGCCCAGAGCAGCATACCAAGTCCCTACACTTGGAGACCAACAGTTCCTAGCATCTTGAGTTCCCTTGGCATGGTCATACTCAAATTAGCAGGAATACAGATTGGCTAATGAAGTCGTAATACCACCCAAAGACAACTGTATGAACTCTTTGCAGTCCTACTTAAAATCTCAAAGTCCTGCCTGAGGGGATGGCTCAGTGGGTAAAGTGCTTGCTTTGCAAGCATGAGGATCTGAGTTCAATCTTCACGACTCACACAAAAAAGTCAGATAATGTGATGTGTCTCTAGTCCCAGCACTGAAGAGGGGAAGACAGGTGGATCCTTGGGGACTCACCGGCCAATCAGCCTAGCCTACTTGGTAAATTCCAGGCCATTGAGAAAGTCTATTTTAAGGTAGACAGCCTGTAGAACATGCCAATGGTTGCCCTATGGGCCACATGTACACACATGAACACACACACACACACACACACACACACACACACACACACACACAGAGCTCAAAGCCAACCCCCTCATTTTCCTCCCCAGATCCTGCCGGATTCATGGAGACTTGGTGAGCAGAGGGCCCAGAAGCTTACTCTTCAATATCTGACACGTCTTTGGTCTCGAAGGAGCCAGTAGTAAGGAGTTCTGGGCTGAGTTTCCCCTGGAACAATAGCTCTTCCTTAGCCATCTTCACCAGGATGAGCCTGACCAGCTCCCCCATGTACATCCCGCTGATCATCTTTTCGAACCTGCAGAGACAGACCAGTGGCGTTCCATCAACGGATGGACTCCATCCCTCCTCTGGGGCCGCAGACGCAAGACCTCTCAACCTCAGGTTTAAAACTCAACGACCCAGGATTCACTTGCACTTATAAAGCACGGCAGTACAAATACAACAAACAACCCAGGAGACAGAAGATACAGGACCGGCCAATCTTTCGTAGAAAATGAGTGGGCTCATTAAGCCTCCCAGTGAAACACAGGAAGGAAGTATGGAACAGAATCTGGGGTAATTTAAGTTACCAAGACAGTGATTATTTAAAATTCAACTCAGAGTCAGGCGTGGTGGTCCAGCTGTAATGCCAGCACTTGGGGGATGGAGGTGAGAGGATCAGAAGTTCAAGGCCAGACTATTCCACATGAGACTCCCATCACAAAAAACAAACAAACAAACAAACAAAAACAAAACTGCTTTTGTTGGTGGTACAGTTTCTGTTACTATTGCTTTGCCTTTTTGAGACAGGCCGGCCTTGAACTCAAGCAATCCTCTTCCCTTAACCTCCCAAGTACTAGGATTACAGGCACACTATACTACATCAAGCAAGAAAATTCTCTTTTAAAATAAAGTCTTAAAGCCAGCCATGGTGGCTTACACTCATCAGCACTGTAGGGGACTGAGAACGAAGGACTGCCATTGTTGAAGCCAGTGTAGGCTTCATAGCAAGTCTCAACCCAGCATGGTACAATAATACTGTCTCAAGAAAAAAAAAATAATAGCAACAATATTTTTTAAAAGCCTTATATAGAGTCCCAATAGGAAACTAAGTGGCTAGAATTATATCTAGGTACAGATCTTCCCCTTCATCCATAGACACTGCCTTCCAAAATCTGGATTCTCAAGAAAATGGGGTGATAACATGGCCAGAGGTTGGGGTAAAGTTGCAGGGTAAATCTCGGGGTGAACATTGAGAGCCTCTGGGGTACAAGGGAAGAAGTGACTACAGGAGGAATCAGCTCTGGAACTGAAGGAAGGCCAGTAATTTGATTTTCCACCACTAGGTGACACTGTTTTCTTTAGAGATTACTTTTTGCCTAGGGCTCTAGGAATCTGTGACAGAAGAAACAGCCTAGCGGATTATCTTTTTTGGTAAAGAAAGCTCCTTGATGCCTCAGACAGGAACTGCGTCTAACAGAGAGGAAGTATAATGTGTACTGACTAGGATGGGCCACACCACCCAGGAGGCCCAGCAGGGGTTTGACACAGAACTGAAAGCCAGGTTCTCAATCAGCAAGATGTGACTTGCTCAATCTTCAAACCGGATAAAGCTAAAGGAGAGCTGGCAGCAATGCCAGTATTTAGGAGGCTGAAGCAAGAGGATCAAAAGTTTCTGGCTAGCCTAGGTTACACAGTGAGACCCTGTCTCTAAAGAAAAAAGAAAAGGAAAGGAAAGGAAAGGATAGGAAAGGAAAGAAGGAAGAGGAAAGGATGGAGGGAGGAAGGAAGATGAAGGAAATTGGGGCTAGAGAAATAGTTCTGTGGTTAAGAGTGGGTCCTGCTCTTGCAGAAGATCTAAGATAGATTCCAGCACCCATGAGAACATGTAATTCTAGTCTCAGGGGACCCAGCACCCCCTTCTGGCTTCCTCAGCATAGGCATGCATGTACACAGTGCAGTTAAATACATGCAAAAATTTTTTTAAAAAATCACTCATATATAAAATAAAAATAAATATTTAAAAAAAAAGAAATCAAAGTAATCCCAGACAGTTCAAAGACAGCTTGGCTGCATGAGATTGTCCCAAAAACCCAGAGCTCCACAGGTCCCAGCCTGAGTAGCACTACAAAATCCAAATGTCTACATCACACTGTCAACCAAGTTGGCTCCATGGAAGCTGATGGGGCACTCCTCCATCAAGGGCTCTTCACAACATGGAGTTGTCCAGCATAACTTCAGGGCCACCCCAGTGACAATTTGGAAGATGCCCTCCCAATCTTTGTCAGTCATCTATGGATAAGCCATTACTGGTCGCTTTATCTTTGGACACTTCCAAGGACACTCAGCTCCTCACGGTGACATGGGTGTGCCCCTTTAAGGGAAGCAGGCACCAAGTGACTGACTGGCCTTTTCATCTAATAAACCTCTCAGCACTCACAGGAGACACAAACAGACGTTCCTAAAAAAAAAGTCCAAGTGCACAGACTGGCATTTCAACATGGAGAGAAGCCTGTGACTTGGAGGCTACCCATCTCTGCCCCAGTTTATAGAGCTGGGTTTCCTGGGCTTCCTTTCTAAACAGAGAGAAGAACTAATAGTTTTTCTAAAACAAACACCAAGAAGACCACAGAAATGGTACATTGCTCAAAAAGGTTTTGCAACTGGCTTTCAGCCCTTGCTGCAGCCAACCCTATTTCAAGATCTTCAACACAGAAGTTTAGCAAATTCAAGAACAAAATAAGGTTGTGTAAGAGTCAAAAGTAGGGCTGGAGAGATGGCTCAGCGTTTAAGAGCACTGGCTGCTCTTCCAGAGGACCTGGATTCAATTCCCAGCACCCACATGTAGTCATTCCAGTTCCTGGGCATCCAATGCCCTCTTCTGATCTCCAATCATCACATACAAATGTGGTACACACACACACACACATAAAATAAAATGAATACACCTAATTTAAAAAGGAAAGAAAAATACAATGTCTTAAAAAAAAAAAAAATCCAAAGTAACAAAAAGCTAAAACTGGAGCCTATGGGATGGAGGATGCAAAATGCTGAGCCTCCATGTCCAATTCTCCCTAGGACACAGCTGGACCAGAGGCCTAGTGTGAATAAAGGTCGAAAGCTCTGGGACTATGAGCAAGCAACAATTAAAAAAAAAAAAAAGACAACACCAGGCAGCACAACCTCAACCCCAGCCCTTAAGAAAGAAGCAGAGGCAGGTGGGTTTGTGTATCCGGCCTGGGTCCATATAGCCAGCTCCAGGCCAGCCGAGGACTAAACAGTGAGAGACTGCGTCTCAAACAAAACAAAAACAAAAACAAATCAAGGCCAGGTATTAGCTCAGCTGGGAGAGTATTTGCCTGGGTTCAATTCCCATCATCAAATAAAACCAGGTGCTGCCCGCCAGGCAGTGATGGGCTGAGAGCCACAAACGGTGCCTTTGAAGACCCTCATCCCATATTGTGCCTTTTTTCACGTGGCTCACTGTCTCCAGAAAATAAGCAAGAAGACGACAAAGTGGCCTTCTTGAAGGGCACTGTGTTCTTATCTGCTTCTCTCTTTGAGCCCTCTTGGTGACTTATGATCGTGAACATTCCCATAACTAGTGGGTGCCACACACACACACATTGTGCCCTTTGGGGACAATGCAAAAGCATGGAAACAACCCTTGGCTGTGGCCTGGCCCCCGCCCCGCCCCCCATGTCCTACCTACCCACCCACAGGAAGGCCCCACTTACAGCTGCTTCCCAGGGTTCAGTGAGCCCATGTCGATTTCTCTGTCAAACTCGGTGAGGATGTCATTGAGTGTCCCATCGTCTCCAAAGGCCCCCCACTCCATGTTGATGCACATCCGTCCCTCGTCACCCTCTACCATGTCAATGTGACGCATCTCCTCCATGTAGCAGGCATTACTGCCAGTACCTGGCGGGCAAAGGAAGGAACTGTTTGTTCAGCGCCTACATGACCTATCCTCTCCCACCCCCGCCCTCCTCACTGCTGCATGTCTGCAGAGGGGCTGAGATTCTTCATTGCAGCCTCCCAGGACAACACAACACATGAGCCAAGCCTCTAGCACACAATACTGCTTAACTCCACAGGTCCTCCTAGCTTGGGCCAAAGTATTTGAACCATTCATTATCTTTACAAAGTAGGAGAAAACACCCAAGCTAAGGATCCCTCCCTCCCTCTCAGCCCCCATCCCCACCCTCACACCAGGGGCTTACTCACCCACAATGAGACCGATCTCACAGTTCTGATCATCATAACCACAGGTCATCATGGTCCCAACTGTGTCATTCACCACGGCCACAATGTCAATGTCAAAGTCCTGCAGAAGAGCACAGGAACTTCATCATCCCAAGGGGGAGACAGGCGTGAAGACGGAGAAAGCAAGATGTACCATGCAAGTGTCTTACTAACCCAAACCACAGCCAAAGAGGTTTAGAGGTAGAGATTTCCCCCCGCCCCCATTCTCTGTCTATCTTTAGTAAGGACAATTTCCCAGACCGCAGCAAGAATTGAGTCCACCTTGTTGTCTTCTCCCTCCTACTCACAACCTATAGACCTAGCCCATCACCTCTCTGCTCCATTCCTTCCCCTTTTGTCTATCATGCCAACATTCCAACTTGACAATGACTCTTCAGGTTAAGGATTTAGGGTGTTTCTTGCACCGAGGCCAGAGTTATTGTCCATCAAGTAAATCTCAAAACCCAAAAGGCATCTGATCACATACAAAAATCACTGGGTAATGCGGCAGGAATGCAGAACACTTATCCTTGAGTCCTACAAAAACATCTGGTGCTGAGCTCCCACCCGTTACTCACCCCTCTGCGCCGGATAGCCTGCCGGATCAGATCCACCACGTCTCTACCTTCCACGCCACTGGACTTGAACCCCTTGGTCCATGAGACCAAGAAACTCTAGAAAACCAAAGAATGATCATTTCCCACAACTGAAACAGTGACACTCCCACAGTGCTCATCAGAACCCTCTACACAAACCTCAGAGCTAAAGTCATGTTTAAATTTGTACACTGTTTCCTGACTAGCCCGGGAATGAGGAGACTCAGCTCCCCACCTCCCCCCCCCCCCAAAAAAAGACACCACCAGGACAGGAGAGTGCATACATGAGTTTATCATGATTCTCTGCCCCAAAGAGCTGGAAAGAGGTGGCAAACGGGATCCATCGCCTGGTGTTTCTGATCTTCCTGAGGGTTGGGATTACAGTTTGCACTACCATGGCCAGTTTATGCCATTTTGGAGATGGACCCAAGACACTGTGCGTTCTAGGCAAGCACTCTACCAGATAAGTGCATCCTCTCAGCCTCTAAGGTGTCTTTTTCTCATCCACGGGTCTTTCTCATAGCCCTTTAGATCAAAAGAGATCTTAATTTCTTATTCCTGCTAACCTGGACAGGATAAGGATACCACAAAATATGTACAGGGGGGATGGGGTGCCCGAGTACCTCTGCCTTTCGAATTTCATCACCATTCTCCACACCTACACACGACACATACAAACAGGTTCCCAGAAGGACAAAAGTCTCAATACTGAAAGCTCCTATGCAAAACTCCTCAGAGCCACTGCCACCATAGCTGCAGATGGCTCCAGAGTCCTCCTCCACCCTCACGACCCCAAGCCCAATGCCACTGAGAGCATTTCAGCCTGCCATACCTCGTCTAGTTTTGTCTGGTGGCAGGGAAAGGAGAAGGTGAAACCCAGCGGGAGCTTCTTGGCTTTGATTTGTAGCTTGTCCATAAAGTTGGCCAGGCATTCAGCAATGTGATCAAATAGCTAAGGACACAAACAGGAAATGAGCAGGGAGGCTGGTTAACAGGGGAAGACAGACTTGATTGTGATGGTTTCTATTGATGGTCAACGTGACAGAATCTGGCAAGATCCAGAAGACGAATCCCTAAGCATGGCTGTGAGTGAGTTTCTAGATTAGGTTTGCTGAGGTGGGAAGATGTACCCCAAACATGGGTGGCACCCTTCCACAGTCTAGGGGCCTGGACTGAATAAAAAGAAGTAAATGAGCTGAACACCAGCATCCATCCATTTCTCTGCTTCTTGACTATGGACACAATGTAACCAGCCCTCAGGCTCCTGCCTCCATGCTCTTCCTGCCATGGTAGACTGTATCCTCCAACTGTGAGCCAGAAGAAACACCCACCTTTTTAATGTAACTTGTTACAGCAACAAGTAACTTATACAAAAATGACCTAATAGAACTCAAGTCATCATCTGCTATCTTGTAAAAAGGAAATGACATCTGGACCCAGTCACCCAGTGTACACAAAGGCACAATGCTAATTAGTGCTCATCAGAATGAGTCTTCCATTTAGGCCTTTTATACAAATCTTGGTTAGAAGAGCTCGTAAGTCAGGGGACCTCGTGGTTATCAGAAAGTCCACATATGCCCTGAGGACCAGAGCATCCCCTGATGGCCGTCATGGAAGTCAGGCTTATCTTCCCAGAATGGAATCCAGTCCATCTCACTGCCAAAAGCGCTTTGACACCCCTGCCTGTGCCTTGAAGGATGGACAGAATGCTTTCCGTTGGCTGTCTCTGAACTAACTCAACAAAAAGAAGCAACCTTTATATTTTGTCTCTGTAAGAGAAAACTAATTCCCTGGGAGCAATTCATAGAAGTTATTTTGGTTTTGTTGTTCATCTTATCCCAATTTATTTTTTATCTCTGTATGTATGTGTGTTTGTCTGCCCAGAAAGGCCAGAAGAGAGTGTCCAATCCCTTAGAACTAGAGTTATAGGTGTTGTGAGTTGCTGGATGTGGATCCTGGGGTCTTGTCCCCTGATAAAGCAACAATTGCTCCCTTAACCACTAAGTCATTTCCACAGCCTCTATTTTATTTTCTAATTTCAAAATGATAGACAGGGCAATGACGGCACTGAGCAGGACCCACCCACCACTGTGCCTGGTAGAGAGGTGTGCTCCTGACAAGCCAGGCTTCCAGTCAGGCCAGAGCCACCAACCAAGAGTCCCCTTCCCACCTATTCAACACCCTCACAGAAAGCTGGCAGCTCTCCAAATGTTGAGAGACTGAGGCCGGGGGCCACGTGATATAAAAAAAGTAAGCAGCGGCCCATGAGGCTGAACAGAGTCCACGGGCCAAGAGGGCCAAATGGCAAAATCTAAAAGCCAAGGAAACAGGGGTGGGAGAATGAAGACAATGAGCACATTCCTTCCTAGAAAGAAGCAAAGGGGAAGGTGAGATGGCCTAAGAGGGTTAAGGCACTTGGTGGCACGCATGTGACCTGAGATCAAGCCTTGGGACCCGTATGATGGAGAGAAAGCGTGAGTACTCCATGTTGTCTTCCAGCCTTCACAAACCCATCTAGGAGACCAGTCATCTCTTAACAAGCCCACTGTGGAATCCTGAAGCAGATTTCAACAATAAGGGATGGGGGCTTAACAGGCCTACTGGTTCCCTGATGTCTGGGGTGATGAATAGTTGTGGAGTCAGGAAGGAAGCCAGCCTAATCTAGGAGGGGCTGGCCCACACCAAACTCCCACGTGGATCCTGTCCATCTATCCCATCCTGCGCAAGGTTAACCACAGCTGAAGCTGAACTTTGAACCTCCAATCCAAAGCAGGCAAGCCACAGACAGGACCAGTCTCTGTCCACCAAGAGGGTCACCAGCAGAGATAGGCTATCTTCCCTTGAGCTAGCTGGGATTTTTAATACACAAATATAAACAAATTCACAGAACCCTGTTCCTGATGCTGGTTAGTACACTTTTTTCTTCCCAGTGCTAGACTGAACCTAAGACCCTGTGCATGCTCTGTGATTGCTCTACCACTCAGCTCTTGCCCCAGCTTTTACGGGCAAGTGTCGTTATCCAAAGAAAAGTCATGCAAACATCAAGCAATCATGGGAATTAGAGAGGCCTTTATCCAGGGTGGAGAGCAAGATGTCTGCCCAGTCCCCAGCCCTGATCACTGTTCCTTCCCCAGCAGCCTACCCTACAGAAGGCAAGAAAAATATCCCTGCACTCATGAGGCTGAGACAGGAGAATGGAGAATTTGGGGCCAGCCTGAACTTCCTCTCGAGAGTCTGTCATCACACTTTAAATTTGCCATGCTTCAGGTGACTCGTGGCTTTGCATGGAGCAAATCTGTTGCAAAAGGTTGTGAGTCTATGTCAAGATCAAAAATCTACAGGCTTTCTAGAAGGAAAAGAGGAGATGATTGCTCCCCTGAACTGGAAGACTAACTCTCTCTTCCTGCTATCTGAGGATCAGGATATGATGCTGGAAAGTCAACACTTCCCTGCCATAAAAAAGGCTCAAAGGGCATAAGCCTGCTGCTAGCCTGTACTCCAAACATTCCTTTTCCTTATTGACACGAGGACCAGCTCACTCCTCTTCCCGCACACCTCACGACCCCAGCAGGGTGTGGCAGTGCCGGGATCAGAAGGCTGAGGAGGAAGGGGATGTCAAGATCACTCTGAACCCCAAGTCAATGACCAGAAGACAGACTTCACCCAGGACAGGTAGATTCACAGCTTTGCAAGTTTGAGGTTTGATGGTTTAGCTTTTAGCTAATTAAGCTGCATTAAAAGAAAGCCCATTGCTTTCTTTTCCTTTAACTTCCTAATTTAAACTGGGCTGGTGAGATGACACTTGCCACCAAGCCTGATGATCTGAGTTCAAGCCCCAGAAGCTACATGGTGGAGAGAACTGATTCCCACAAACTGTCCTCTGACCTTTACATGCACACACACACACAAATAAATAAATACATGTAGCTAAAAAGAAAAGGAATAGAAACTATTTTCTTTATGCTTTCTAACTCAGTAGTTTGAGATTTTTTTTTATTATTAGATGTCATATTTTAATTATCTTCATTTAGAAACAATGTCACACTATATATAGCCCAGGCTGGTTTTGCACCCTCAAATTTCCAGGCTCAGCTTCTCGGATGCTAGATGTGTACCTGGCCCTGCCAATCTGAGAGATTTCAAAGTAAATTTTAACTTCTTGGATTCTGTCAGATTCTTTCTAGTTTGACGGACACACTGCAACTGTCAACTCAAGTCCCAAGCCCTAGCCAGGACCATGGGGTGGGTACCAGGGCCCTTCGTGTGGCTGAAGAGTAAGTAGCCATCCATTGAGATGGGAGAACTGTTCAGCACATTGTTAAGACATCACAAGTCTTTTTCACAGCCACAGTCAAACACTTTTTGACTTTGTCTTGTTTGGTTCTCAAATATTTGTCATCTGGGAGCAGGGCCCAGAATGAGAGTCAGAGAGAACATGAAGAAAAGGTGACCACATTCTCCATGAAGGGGAACAATGCTAGAGATGCTGGCCAGAGACTGAGGACAGCACAGGAAGAGAATCTGAAGAAGAATGAGCAAAGCTCCCATGGAGAAACAGCAAACACCCGTGTGCCTGCCAGTTGTGGCACTAGCCACACCTCCCCTCTGAGCAGCCGCACGACCTAACTATTTATTACCCCACCATCTCTCTCTACAGATGGGGCACTGTGAGGTGTTATCATTTGCACAGAATCACACAGCAAGATTGTCCTAATACAGGACCTAATCTTTTAAGCAAATACTCCACCACCGTGCAGGCAGTGTTCTTCCTGACACACTACACAACAGCCATGAGACACCTTCAGCAGAACTAAAATGCCCACAATCCCAGGTATCCAGCTTCCAAAGGATGCAGGCTGACCCTCAGGGCCACGCCCAAAGACAAACAAACAGTCTGAAAATATCTCCTTCAGCTCACAATCAGAACTCCTTTCCCAGGTGGAAGAAGCCTGTTTCGACTGTTGAGGGTCCCATCTCTCCCATCTTTTACCGCCAAGCACCCTCTGGGCACAAAATATGGCAGGGACAGTCAGGGCTCTCAGCATGGGAATACAGCTTACAGCTGGAATAGCATCCAGGATGTCCTAATGACTGTCCTGTGGTAAGAGAAGATGCAGTGTTTCAGGATTATTGGTAACTCTGCTGCCGTCTCAATAGGAAGACTGTACCTGGGTTCCACTGCCCCGCATGATGTCCTCAGGGATGGCATAGATTTGGTTTTCCATCTCCACCTTCTGGAGGCCATTGTCTGTCACCCTTACTCGAAGCACACGGAAGTTGGTTCCTCCAAGGTCCAGAGCCAAGAACTCTCCATGTTCTGTAGACAAAGGAGGGGCCTCTGTCAATATGGGGCAAGACAAGATCGAACTGCCTCCTGAAAACCAGCCTTCAAGCCCAGAGACCCTCCATGAGCATCAGCCACTCATGAGTGACAGCTGTCAAGTGGTTCACTTTTTTTTCTTAGAGACAGTTTCACAGTGTAACCCAGTCTTGCTTCCAGAGTCCTAGGATCATACACACATCCCCATCACACCCAGCTTTATGTTTGGCTTTCTTAATGATATTTTATTATTTTGTAATTCACATCAAGAATGAGGCAATTTCATACTCTAACTGTCCTGGTTGGCTTGTCAATGACTTAAGTTATTTGGGAAGAAGAACCTCCATTGAGAAAACACCTCCAATCAGATTGGTTCGCTCCCACCAGGAAACCAGCAGCTGGGATAGGAAGCACCCAGATACTGGTTAATAACATAGGCAGCTGCAGGGAGGCACAGATAAGTACTGAAGAGGCATGCAGCCCACAGGAAGGCCAGGATGGCAGGCCATGAGAGCCAGAAGAGAAAGCACTCACCCCACTGTAGCCTCTCCCAGCCACCTGCCACCCTCACCTTCTCTGAAGGGATAGGGTCAATACTGAGCCTCATATCTGGTTGGGAGGGTCAAAGACATGTTCTGACTAAATAAACTAAACGATTTAATCTGTGCCCAGGTTACCTGGGTTCCCTAAGCACCTTGTCCCCTCCCTCAAGTGGCCACACACCCCACCCAGAATGGCCGTATCTCACCAGCTCCCTGAATGCGGTGTCCACAGTCTCTAAAATGCAAAGCAGACACTTGGGGTAGGTGTCAGCCACCTGAGGTTCCTCAGGACTCACTCCCACACACAATGTCCGGTGCATTGCTAGCAAAACCCATATTACTTATGTGAGAAGCCATGCCCGGCTACTTTATAGCCTAGAGCCTCTTTTATACCCGGAGCATGGAATTTGGTTTCTTGATCTCTGTTCTCTAAAATGGGAGCATCACACTTGCCAGGATCCTCATGAGAGAACTAAGTAATGTTCTTGAATCACCCAGAAATGTAGCAAGAACTTAAAAGACACAGTAAACACCAGACTCGTGGCAAACTTGGTCTCAAACCCAGACCCCAAATGGCAAGGGAGGTGAGAGACACCTTTCCAGGAAAAGCCACAGGCTTGGGTGACTTCAGCATTCCTCTTGCAGGTACACATTTTCCATTCCCTACTGGGCTTCGGAAGGCATCGTTACCACTCACTCCAGACACCAGTTCACTGAAGGCTCCGTAAGGCAATGCCAGCCTTGCCTGGGGAAAACTCTGTCCACCCCCCCTCACCCCTCCTCGTGGCCTCGGATGACTTTTCTAGACACTAGAGTACTGAACCTCCACTGGCCATGGGGCCTCAGCCAGATTCTAGGAAACGCTATGTGGTGGTTGTCAGGGGGATGAAAGAGAAAAATCAAGGGTGAGCTGCCTCATCAGCACTTTGAGGTCTGGGATACACACGATCCGCTGAATCAGTGACCATGGGGGACGGAGGTGGCCAGTACTGCCTCTGGTTGGTTATGAAGACCAGCCCAGCTGGATTCAGCCCAGGATGGCTCCATCAGGAATGTGATTCGGCTGTATTTTCTGATGGACTAACGGGGACTGTAAATAATAGAGTGCCGGTAGAAACTGAGGGATGCTTACCATTCTTTCAGAATACACCCCTCTCCTTTCATCAGCACATGCTCCACACACACATGACCAAGGACTGGACCCTCTCTGAGTTCAGAACATGAGGCAGTGACTCCAGTCATCCTATGATGACCCCACAGGGCAATGGAGGGACCCAATCTTCTAGGCCCAGTCTCTATATGGCTCATGACCATTCCCCACAGAGCAGGGAATAAGTGACAAAGTTTACACACGGTAGCCAGGACTCACGGTAGCAGTGGCCTGGGCACCTCTGGGAATTGTTCCCTCACCTGCAGAACTCACAGCTCACAGTGTTGACTTCCCGCAGTACTTGTGAGGTTTTGAGGAAATATGGACTAGGTTATACATGAATGTATGGACACACAGATAGCCATCGGTAAAATGTCAATGTCCTTGTCATCCTTTCTTGGTCAGAAAGCTCTTCTCCTAACTCGTCTTGGTCACTCTGAATCAACATACTGCTAGTTATAGCTCAAGCCCTACCTCCACTGGGATCCTTCCAAGACATTCCAGAATCCCAGAATAGCGTTCATGGGAGCAGGCGATGGATTGTGTGACTGTGAAGGGCAAATGCATCTGTGAGACTCTGGTAGGGCAAGAGAGAGGCTCTGATGCAAGAAAACATACCAAGAGCAGTTTCTTAGCCCAGCATGGTGACACACTCCTGTAAGCCCAACACTTTAAGAGGCAGAAACAGGGGTTAGCCAGCCTCAGCTACATAGTGAGTTTCAGTCCAGTGGGGGAGGAGATTTCTTAGATCACAACCAGGGTTGTAGGGATGGCTTGTAGGTCAAGGCAGAGCACTGCTCTTCCAGAAAACCTGAGGTTGGCTCCCAGCATTCACATTGGGTTGCTCCCCACCATCTAAAACTCCAGTTCTAAGGGACCAGACACCCTCTTCTGGTATCCACAGGCCCTGCATTCACACGATACACATGTATACAAACAGGTATACAGACACACAAATGGATAAAAATAAATTAAGCCAGGCATAGTGGCGCACAACTTTAATCTGGAGGCAGAGGCAGGTGGATCTCTGGGAGTGTGAGGAGAGCCTGGTCTAAATAGTGAGTTCTGAGACAGCCGGGGTTTCAGAGACACCCTACCTCAAAATAAAATAAATTTTAAAATAATACCTAATAAAATACACTTTAAGAAGGATACCAGGAAAGTACTGGCAAAGAACCTAGTAACAGCAGTTGGTTTTTGAGGCAACTGATCAGGTCTGGTGACTTTTCATATTGTTAAGCTTGTTGTTATCGCCAGATCATAACTTTCACTTTTTTAAAAAATAAATTATAAGAGCTGATGAGTTGGCTTACTGGGTAAAGGTGACTGCCACCAAGTCTGACAACCCGAGTTTGATTCCTGGAACCCACACGATGGAAGGAGAGAATGCATTCCTGCAGGTTTTCCTCTGACCTCCATATTCCCTCCGTGACGTGCGCGCACACACACACAAAAGCACATGCATTCCAGCATATATACACTCTAGTGCACACACACAATAAACAAATAAGTGCAATAAAAAGTTAAATATGCTGGGAGTAGTTAGTGGTACATGCCTTTGATCACAGCAAATATTCAGACCCAGGGTTGCCTAGCCAAAGGATTTTTCTATGATGAGTAACAAGGGTGCTCACTAGAAAGTTGTAAACCCTCAAATAGGGAATTCTTCACTTACAATGCCAAGAGTGTAAAACCTGGAGGCAACAGACCCCCCCCTCCCCACT